TGTATATATATATATATATATATATATATATATATATATACATATATATATATATAACTTTATGTAACTATATATAACTTGATGTACTAAAATACCTAAAACTAAAATTGAAATTTAAAAACATTAATAAAAAACTAGACATTTAAAAAATAATAAAAAAATAACAAATTACAACAAAAATTACTAAAACAGACTAAAATGAAAATGAAAACATAGAATAAAAAATGTAAATATAAAAACTATAATAATATCTATAGTAAACTATAATAGCATCTCAATTATATAAAACAATACTATATATATATATATATATATGTATATATACAATACTATATAGAAAGATATAATCTTTCTTCTACATTTTCTTATTTTTACATATTAAAATCTGGATCATGACTGCATAATAAAGCTCATTTTGGAGAAACGCTGGCATAACGCTGCGGTGTTTCGCATCTGTTTCTTGCATTGCCCACAGATGAGGAAGCTGTTAACATTGGGAGCATTGCATTATGGGACACAGTAAAGTCATATAGGGTGGGATGCTGTTCAGAGGGGAGGATTCTTGCACTTCAACATACAGGCTGTCTGGCTTTTGCTAGATCAGAAAATTAAACAGTAGCCTATTAAACAAGCTTCATATTTCCAGCATTTTCTGAACCATTTAGTTGAACGCTAGACATACTCTTTTTTGAGGAAATTCCAGTTTATATCATGCAAGTATTCTAAGCAACATCACGCAGCTTTTGCAAGCAGACTGGCTCGAACACAAACCACAACTAAAACAAATTCAGCCTCTACTCTTTCTACTGAAGCACAGTGACCTCATAAAACCCTGGACAATAATTCATATTTTTTAGTAGGCCGGGCTTCTAAAAGGTCAGTCAGTCCAGTCATCTTTCAAAGCCATGCCTCCATGCCACCCAAATAAACACAGAAAGTGCTGAGCCCGTACTGGATAAGAACCGCAGGCGTCCGCAGCGGCCCACGTTTGTAAGAGCAAACAGAGACTGTTTAGAAGACACAGACTGAATGGGTTTGAAGACCAAGACGGTCTAAATGACAGAAATAGACGGGCAATACACACACACACACACACACACACACACACACACACACATACGTGTAAGTGCTCGACAAACAGCGTAACCCTAAACTGCTCAGCATCCATTAGCTCATTTCCCATGAAGCTCCACTTCAGGATGTGTTTGATGAATGAATGGGGAAGTAACACACCAGTAAAGAGGAGTCATTTTGTGAATCTTTATTTCAATGCATTTGGTGTCACATGTTGGGAATATGCAGAATCATTTTACCGTACTGGTTGTTTTGGGCTCAATGAACTGTAAACGAAAAGATTCAGTGATTCATTTGTATTAAAATATGTATTTAAATTGTGTTTTTGGTTTTTGTGAAGAGTGTTTCAGCTCACATTTCAAAGTGCAAGTCACTAATGTAAGTCATTTTTGGGTAAAAATGTCTGCTAAATGCATGTAAATTAAATAAAAGCAAACACTTATGATTTTGGATTAGACAAAATTTATGTCTGATTCATTAAAGGGAAACAATTTAAAAGAATGATTCATTTGCAAACCAGACATCACCATGACAAATTGATTTCATACATCCAAATCAAAGGTTTTATTTTTATTTTTTTATTGGACATCACATAGCACAATATTATCATTAATTTTATAGACCCAATAATTCTTTTTTATTTATTTATTTTTAATAATAAAAATGTATTTTATGCATTGGACATCAGGTGGCTGTGACAAAATTATTTGTCACGCAAAATTAAAAAACAAAAGTTTTTAAAATAATAATTAAAAAAATATATTAGTCATATTAGTTTATATATATATATATATATATATATATATATATATATATATATATATATATATAATTTTTATTGTAAAAATGTATTGTATTATTGTATTTGGACATTTAGTGGCTGTGACAAAATTGTTTGAAATGCAAAATTGAAAGAATAATTTTTTTATTTTTAAACTTTGAAAGGAATAGTATTCTCATGAACTTTGGAGGCCCTATATATATATATATATATAATTTTTATTGTAAAAATGTATTGTATTTTATGCATTGGACATTTAGTGGCTGTGACAAAATTGTTTGAAATGCAAAATTGAAAGAATAATTTTTTTATTTTTAAACTTTGAAAGGAATAGTATTCTCATGAACTTTGGAGGCCCATTTTAAAAAAATGTTTTATTCTTAATAAAAATGAATTGCATTTTATGCATTAGACATCAAGTGGCTGTGACAAAATTGTTTGTCATACAAAATAAAACATCTTTACAATAAAACAAACAAAAAATATTATCATGAACTTCACAGGCCCAGTAATTTAGTTTTAGTTTTTTAAAACAAATACTTTTAATAATAAACATGTACAACAATTAAAAAATTTTGTTTTTTTGTGACGAGTGTTTCAGCTCACATTTCATAATTTCATACATGGAAATGCAAATCCTCTGTCTGCCAAATGCATAAACTGATTTCATACATCCAAATTTGGACATCAAGACAAAAACGTTTTGAATACAAAATTTAAAAGAAAAAGTCTTTAAAATCAATCATTGAAGAAAAAAATTATCATGAACTTTTTAGACCCAATAATATTAATATCATTCTTTGTCTATTAGGCTAATATATATATATATATAACATAACATTTTTCAATGTTTGATATATATATGTTTTTTTATGTTTTTTTTCTTGCAATTGTCTACAATGGCCAACATACGATTACATTGTGGTCAGCCCAAAACATGTTCACCCACATTGCCAGTAAACCTGTAATTAATGGGAAATTTTTTATTTTACTTGAGTGTTCAATGTTTTTGAAGATGAGGGCTTGTCACGCAACAACCTGTCCGTGTTGAACTTGATTTGATTGGACACGAAACCTTTGACGTCAGCAACGACAAAAGATGCGGGAAGTGTTTCCTCCTCCCTTTTAAAATGTGATAAGCCTATTTATTATTTTATCCAATGCACAATTATACAGCAACTCATCAGTTGGTCTATGAGATACACACTTGAGGCCTTGTGTCATTGTTGAGGATTGACGAAGTACGTTTGAATTACTCTGGAACCAATGTGTATTTTGTCATTTTGTTTGCGTTTTATGTAGTTTTAGTTAAATAGACGTGCGTGTGGTGTTGAATGTGTGTGGTGCTTGTGAATGAGTGTGTGATAGTCCTAACCATAAGACAGCAGTAAGGCAGGAGACTTCAGGCTGTGGTTTCACGCTCTGACTGTATAGTGCATCTCCCGGCGCCTGCTGTCTGCGCTGCTTGGAGACATTCACACCCTGTGGCCTGAAATACAGCTGTGTGCTGCGTCTAATCGTGTTTGACTTGGACAAGATTAATGATGTTTCGAGGTGTGGAGGACAATCATAACTAACAAAAGTCAAAACTATTTTACACAACAAGACATATACCATAATACCCCATAATTACCTACAGGCTTTAACATTTGTCTCTTCTTGTGATGCAGTGAGCGTGCTCACTGAAAATGAGGATTTTCTGTAGGATTATGTCTGAGACGTGGATTAGCATTTTTAAAGATGTGATGTGCTTCTTTACTGACTCTTTGTTTGCCTGCAAAGTCTTAGAATAACACAATGATATGAGTATCACGATGCTTTAAACTCCAGTGGGGTCCAAACATTATATTTATATAGGCATTATATTTTGAATTTTTCCAATTTAATACAAAAGTTTTCATTACAAATTATATTATCAGCATTTATATTTAATATAGTTTGAAATATATATATTTTTAGATATTGTATTATATAAAATATAAAATTTTTATAATTTTTTATGTTTATAAACATTTATATATAAATATATAAAATAATATTTATTATAAGTAGTATATATATATATATATATATATATATATATATATATATAGTAAAAAATGTGTATATAATACATATAAATATAATTTTCTTATACCCTATTTTAACAAAACGTGAAAGAATTTCATATTTTCATTACAAATTATATTATTAACAGTAATATTGAATTATCAACTAAAAATATTTTTTATTATGGAAAATCAATGAGAAAAAATATATATAATTACAGGCTATATGTATATATATAATTGTATATATTAATTATATATCTTTTTGTCATAACTTTTTTCATAATTTAAAAATGAAAATCCTAAAACAATGTTTATTTCCATCTCTATATGAAAACATTCCAGATTTTTAATGTAGTTGCAGACTTTTGGGTGCCACTGTCCATGCATGTGTGTCCATGCATTGACTGATTTATATAAAGCTTCACTGCAACACTTTGACTGTGGGGCCATACAAAAACGGTCCGCAATATTCCAAACATACTGTGTTTTATAGAACACATTGTAACAAAATATAACTTGCATTTTTGCTTATTGGTCATGTGAATGTAAAACCATTTGATTCATTGAGCCGAGCCATTACTGAGAGCTACTTAAAGGCTCAAGTCACCTCGACATATAAAGTGCTGCATACCCTCATTCAGATGTTTGCAACTGGAGCATGTAACATCTCACGTTACCTGCCGGACATGCCTGAGCTAACACAAGAGTTAAGCTTTGAATAAGTAAGAACGAAGAAGCTGTAGACGGGACAGATAAGGACCAATAGTTCACTCGGATGAGAACATATACACACATTCTGCTAAACTTTTTTTCCAGGATATAGTTGTTTTCAGGGTGTGTCTGGTTTGATTTGATATCTCTGTGTAAATATCTAGCATGGCAACTGATGCATGCTTACATCTACAAATAGTATCGCACGGTGTTTAAATTGGCAATAAAACTCATGGATAGTTTCTGCCTCTTTCGTGTTTGAGTCTGTGTTTGTTTATTTTATTAAAAACTGTATTTTATAAACTAAACACACCTGTAGGAGCATTAGGTTAGTCTAATAGATTCTACATCTCACCTGATAGGCCAAAACTTCCCTTTAACAAATGTTCAAATGACTTAATATGCCTTTAATTATGAATCCAGGCAGTTAAAGGGATAGTTCACCCAATAATGTAAATTCTGTCATCAGTTACTCACCCTCATGTTGTTCCAAACCTATATGAGGTTCTTTGTTCTGTTGAACATAATGGAAGATATTTGAAAGAATGTGGCTTAACGAAAAGCTGCTGGTCCCGCATTGACTTGGAAAAAAATACTTTAAAAAAGTGAATGGGGACCAGTCAGTGGGGTTACCCATATTCTTCTATCTATATATATATATATATATATATGTGTGTGTGTGTGTGTGTGTGTGTGTGTGTATATGTGTGTGTGTGTGTGTGTACACATGTACACA